GCGGAGGGCTGTTGCATCCCACTGTGAACGTGCTATTTTGGAAGGAATTTTGGGCAATGAGAGAAGAGAGGAGTCAGGGCTGGGACCTGTGTGTGAAAACCCAATGCACTCACGGTGGCATTTTCAACCAGTAACCACCTCATAAACAAGTTAAGGGATTGCTAGGGCATGGAAAAATATCCCAAAGGTTTTTTGAGTTTTATTTTTGTTGGTTTTCTTTTCTTTTTTTTTTTTTAAAGCTCTTTCCTTTTTAAAGAGCCTCATTAGTTTTGAGCAAGCCTCGAAGAAAGATGAGGACAAAATGTCTAATTTGTGAAACTCTTAACAGTCTTAAGTATATTAACTTCCATGAACAGCAGAACTGCAAGTAGACCTGCGTAAGTACAATGCTATTAAAATCTTTAGAGAAGAGAGACTGTGTGAGAAATTAGAAAAAATTAAAGCTCCTTTATTCCTTTAAGGCAGACAGGCAAATGTCACATAAATCAAAATTAATCCGTAAGTACCATGGTGAAGGGAAGCATGACCACTACTGGCTACCACCCAGCAGAACAAACTTTAGACTTCAATTCTTCATCTTTTCTTTTTTCCAAATTAGGTCTCAATGTTTTCCCAGGCCTCTTCTAACTCATTGTGGAGCTGAAATGCTAGGCTCAGCCTAGTCCTTTTTCCTATTTCTCCAAGACTACGCTACAGTCCTTTCTGTTATATCGAGCAGAGAACGGGGAGCTCTGATTTGTTCTTCTAAAGCAGTTCCCTTATTTTTTTCCCCTGAATTTTAGCTACTAGCAGCACATGGCAAACACAAAACCATGCCGAGATAGCCCCGAAAAGCAGGCAACCAAAGCAAGCTTTTCACCAAACAGCTGCTCTGACCTCCGCTACGCAGTACCTGCAGATGAGTAAGTTTACTTACGTCCACATCCATGGGAACACTTTCAACAAGATGCACAATAAATTTCAGGATTTGATTACGCAGGCGACAACTGCATAGGAATGTTTTGCAGTTATTCCTTTTCCTTTCCAACTCCCTTCACTGTCCTCAGTTAAATTTTCAATGACTTACTAGCTTGCAATGCAATAAATAGATTCACACGACAGTTAAAAATTAAGCTGCCCATACTTGATAAGCTGCACAATAAAACCCTTTCATGTGGAGGTGAAGACAAAACTACAGCTCTTGAACACAAGAATTCACTGCGCTGAAAGAGGAAAGTAATTAATTCTGGTTATGCATACAAATTTCTACATCTGTTTCTTTAATCAACTATCTGCACACAGGCTGAAAAAAGCAGCTTATCTTCAGACGAGTGGATTGGGGTTTTCACTGTGAACAGCCCATCTTCGACTGGAGCTCTTTTGTTTTCAGTTACATTAAAAGCACAGGAGTGTGCTTGCAGGATGACTGTATCACAGTAATCTATCAATCTCTCCCGAAAAGTCATTTTTATTATATGCCCTTGTTCTCAGGCACATCTCTTTTGGGGATGGAAAAAAATAGAAGCTACTTAGTCCAATTCTTATTCTCAGCCTATACAGGATTTTTTTAATCAAGTGTCTTTAAATTAACAAAGCATGTGATAACAATGCACTCAGCATTCAAGTGATTTTCAGAATTTCAGGCTTGTCAAAGGAGATGGTTCTGGAAGAGGGCATAATAGCTGTATACAAAAGTCTAAACCCCAAAATTCATTCACAAAATTTCAACTGTCTGTCAACAGCCAGATGTTTGAATTTATGAAGGAGGGGAAAAGACTAAGTCGTATTTTGACCAGTAACATCCCCCAGGGTATGCTGAGGCGGCCTGTCCTTTGGTGCGAATAAGGGTTCCCTCACATGCTGGTCACACATTTCACATTATGGAATTTGAACAGCAGTTAAACAGCCCATATAGTTTAATATGAGATATATTCTCAAATCCCTCAAACTTCTGTTAGCTAAAACAACACGTGGCAGCTACACTTATATACCTGTAGCTATTTTAAAAACACTTCCCCTTTCCCCCCAAACAGATGATAATTCCCCTGCAATTCTCTAGAAAGCAGCCACGGTCATTCTTTAGCCTCTTAAAAGAACCTTTGAATCAACTTTGTCTTCTTGTTTAGTTCAGAAAGAGCTGAAGGTATGCTTATTACATCTTGTTATGCTGTCAGTCTGCTGCATTCCATTTATTTATCTCCAGTTTTGGCAGTTGCAGCCAATAGTCAAAAGCCTGGCTGAATGATTATTTATCAGCTCTTAAGGCCACCTTGTAGCGTGTAAATAGACAACTCTACTAGATTCCATAAGCAGAAAAAAGTTCAAGCTGAGGTTTATCCTGCTACCAGGCACTACCAGGCACTGCTCACTCAGTTTTTCAGAAATAACACAACAGATGAGGACGCTCACCACCGTGAGATTGCGTATCTCCTCCATGACTCGCGGCCAGAAGGACTGGAGGCTTTGCTGGGCATCGCTATTGCTAGCCGTGCCGAAGCCACCATCTGTGGACATTCTGGTAGCTGGGAGAAATAAAAACAAACGTTAGCAATGAGGGAGGGCAGGAGGCAGGAGTCAAAGGCTTCCAGAGATTCCCTCCAAGTCCCAGGAATACAGGAAGGGGCCAGCCTGGCTAATCGCTCTGGAAAACTGTCAAAATAAGATATGTCAGTCCAGGTCTCACAGCAACAATGGAGAGATACTCACAGCCCCTCGAATTGTTTTCTAAAATTTTATTTATTTTTCCAAAGATTGAAAAAGAACATTAAAGAAAAAAAAAAAAAAAAGGACAGACTTGAAAGCAAGAATAGTCTCCTTATTCCCCTATTAGAGCTCTGCCTTTTCACAAGGAGTTATGAAACATAACTGATGCCCGGTCACAGCTCACACTCCAGTGCGCACCTATTATAAAATCATTTTTTCTCCTGCTTGTTACAGCCAACAACAGTGCAAGGATATGGCAGTAAACCCCCTTCAAGTTGAAACCAGAACGTCAATGTCAGCCCAATAGTCTTTCTAAAAAGCGTAATGAAACAGTTGCTTCTGTGCCTACTTGAGAGGTGTCAGGTTTTGTGGCTTTACGCTATTTTTAATATCTCTTCTCCTTGGGTATAATCAACAGGAGAAATTAACAGCCTGTATAATGCAGAATGTCAAAAGCACAAAGTAAGATTTAAAATGAAAATCTTTTAATTGAAACATTTTTTAAAAAGCCCCATGCCCATCATTTAGTATTCTACAACTGCAGGATGTTAAGCAAGACTGGCTAATATTAAATTTATACTGGACATTGCCTGTGCACTCATTAAGACTTGCATCTTTGCGAATGGCTTTATTTACTGTATGTATCAGTAGGCATCAGGAACATATAAGCAGAAAATAAAGGGACAATAACTGGTTTCGGACTTTTCCCATATAGCCATGCTGCGCTGCAGTGAAGATGACGAAGAGGTCAGGACACGCAGCATTGATTAACCTCGTCCTCGGGTGACCGAGGCAGTGCCAGCCCGCATGGCACTGTCCAGGAACATTTCAAGTTCCACCTGACACAATTCCTTTCCCCCCATAAAGCCCTGGATCAAGTTGTGCCTTTCTGATGAGGAACTCTTAAGACAGCTCTAGTTAATATTAAAATGAAGTCAGCTGCACAACTTAGGAATCCCTTGGAACACCAAGACCAGCCTTGCTGGCTTCCTCTGTGCGACACGAGCACGTGGCTTCAGCAGTATTCCCAAGAGGAGACGTGCCAAAAGCACAGGCACGCTCACGACCTGTCGAGACACAACCCGACAGGACAGGACTCGGTCCTTCCCATGCACAGAAAGCATCTTGGTGAATGCCAGAAGAGTCACCGCTCACTTCTCAAGCGAGCAAAGCAGAGGAAGCCAGGGAGTTACTGACGTTAAACGCTCTCGGGGTCACCCAGAGCAGCTCTGAAGTTTCCATGAGTGACATGCACTCACCACGTACAAACAATAAGCCTCTGTGTCTCTCATTACTTACCGCGAGAGAGAAAGGGTGCTACATTTTCTATAGGGAAAAATCTCAAGACACACACAGAGATTTGTGTGTTGCCATGCAATGGAAAAAGACAAGAGTAGATTTAGCTCTGACACAGACAGGCACAATCCCCATTTGCTTTTGATCTGCCACGTAAAGGTTTATTTCAGTCTTTTCCAAACCAACAGGAAGCACAGCAACACTGTACAACCCACCAAAATACCGATGGGAGGCAGCGGCCAATTGCCAGTAATTTCAAAATACACTACTCCAAAAGCAATGACGATCCACAAGATCTTATTAACAGATCAAAGCGATGAATGTCAGACAATCAGTTCGTTACCTCCTGCAGCCTACACCTTCCAAGGCAGACTCTGCGAACAGTTGTATTTTTCTTTCATCAACCTGAGAAGAGGACACAGGAGGCGTTGGAAGAGCTGAAGGGGATTCTGACAGGGGATGAGAAAGAGGAGGTCAGAAGATCGTATTTTCAGTCTCAAAGCAAGACAGGAAGAACTCCAGGTAAGGAACCTATGGAAATAAGTGACTGACAAGTTACTTGATGACTCTTCAACAACTATTTGCATTATAATACCATCTGCCTACAAACTAAGATATTTCAAGTATTTATAAGAAAATAGAGAGATGAATATTCTGACGAGAGTGTTAAATTGGCATTTGATTCTCCCCCTCCTTGATTTGCACTATCAAACATAGACGAAAAATAGTTTAGGCACATACATAAAAGCTAATCCTTGAAATCTGCTCTCTACTGGCAATATTTCAACACTAACACTAAACGGGGTCTTTTCTGCAACTGGAGATGCAATTCATCTTGAAGACAAGCCAAATAACTTTTCAAGGCTTTGTTCAAAACTACAAATTACTTGCATTCAACCCACTTAAATGCTGTACTGGAATATAATGCTCTACATAACCCTAAGAAAGAACAGGTGAAAAAAAAAGAAAAAAGCTAACGGAGCAAAGAGGAAGAAAATTCTACCACCACTACCACTTTATCCTCTACCACACACAAAAGCAAATTTCTTGCACTAAATATATGCCTCTGTGGTATTCATCCAGGTTTCAGGAAGAGCTAGAAATGGTTTACTCCAGTCACCTATAATTTAAAAAGTCCTGTCGATGAATAAAAAAAAAATTTCCTATTTTCAAGGTAAACATAGGACTGATTTCAGAATGCAAAATGAACAGTCTGATGCTCGACCCAAGGGACAATTGCTATCTTACGTGACTATTTAGGATAATTGGTAGGAAACAGAGTGAGAGTAGAAACAAGAGTCACCAACATGGTGATTTGCTGAAAAACTTCCAGAATGAAATCACTATGAACTCCAAAATAAAAGCCTAAGCAAGTTAAAACTGCTCAGATTACTACAGGAATTTCCTCCCATTAAAATATAGACACATAAGTGGCACTGAAGGTGCTTGCAAGCATTAGAGGAGGACTGTAAGGAAAAGAGAAAAACCCAAACTGTCCAGTAAACCCACAGCGTTGGCTCTGCGAGTCAAACTTTACCAATGAAACCATTCCTGCACAATTAGGTAAGTTCCTTCACCCAAGGGGAAGCTGTGTTCTCTTCTTCTAAGAATGCCTACTATCAGGATTAGTGCCAACAACAACAACAACAAAAATACTAAAGCACACAACAGGAGATAAGCCCACCAAAGCTAACAGGGAGGCACTTCCTCTGATTTCTCAGTATCAGTGCCTAAACCTGTTTGTCTTTTTGATATGCAGTTTGCAGGGCAATTTTAGAGCTTCACGATACTTCATCTTTCCTCCTCTAAAGAATCCCTCCACAACCCCGTGCAGAAGGGGAGAGGTGCTCTGAGGATCCCCACGCTCCCCGCATTGCACTCACGTCACGCACGGTATGGTCTCTCAGAAGTTCTACGAGTAAACTGGTCACTCTGACACCGTCTTGTTGCTGAATAACAGAAGTTAAAGTCCATCTCCCACATCGCCTGGTTGCCACAAAGCGTAACTGCAACCAGAGGGAATTTGCCCACTGCAGCAACGCTGCGTCTCCATACAGAAGCTGAGCAAGTACCTTGTCAGCTTGACACGCTTCTGCTCCACACAACACTTACTTAACACAAGCCGTTATCTCACCGGTGTGCCTGACGCTGCCTCAGAGCAAACAAGGGTGCTATGCTGACCTCGGATTAGCTAAACTACCAGCCCGAGTCCCAGGAGCCTGCAACCTAAAAACCAGGCTATGCAGAGATGTTCTTGCAGAACAAACTAGATGAGGAGGTTCACACGCACACAAAACACACTAACTCACAACGTGGACACATCATCGAGTTAGATACAAGCAAGCAAACAACCATCCCTCCCCAAAAAACACACTCAGCAAGAAATAAGGGTGTAAGAACCTGCTTCACAACAGCCAACCCAGTCCACGCAGCCTGGAATGTGCTCCATGAGGGCAAACATTTTGTTTCCAGACTAAGAGAAAAAGAAACGGATGGCCAAAAAGCTGAGGCCTAGGTATAAAAATGCCCTGAGGTGATTACCCAGCAGATTAGCAAGCACATCTCAAGAACTAAGACATCAACACTCTGCAATTAGAGCTTTTCTGCTCACCGGAGCAGAACACCTTTTACAAACATTAAACTTACAAAATCCTGTGGCAGTTGACAAACTCTTAAGAGCTTCACTTCATGGAAGCACAAAGCAAGAATGAAGACACCTCTAGTGTCTGTAGTTGGGTTTTTTGTTGTTGCTTCTTCGTTGGATTTTTGGGTTTTTTGTTTTTTTTTTTTGTTTTGTTTTGTTTAAACAGATGCTTGTTTGTGCTCTTTAATGCCTTGGGAAGGGGGGAGCAGTCAAACGAAGCCGTCTCACTCTGGATGCTTGCAATCTGCACGCTTGAGCAAGAACCTGCTATTGAAAACACAAGCTACGGTATAACCACAAATAAAACCAAGATCTCTGATCTTGCAATTCCACCCGGAGCAGGTACCCAGAGCTCTTCATCTGGAAAACCAAGGGCCAGGAGCAGCCCACCAGACCCAGCAGAGCAGCAGCTCCCAGCCACAGGACATTCCCAGACATCGCCAGTGCTGCTTGCCAAGTGAGCTTGGGAACGGGAACCAGACGACAACCTCCCCGGCCAGCGAGGGTCACGTCACAGCTTCCGATGTGCCTACTTTTAAGTTACTCCCAAGCTAGCCTTGACTAAGAAGTCAACCAAACAAAATCAGCCGGGTGGAGAGCAGATCTAAATGAAATTTATCCAAATATCTGAAGGATATGCAAACAGCGAATGCCAGAGGGAAGTACTGAGAAGCCTCGAGGCTCTCGATGGAGGAGACAATAACTCAGCAACATCATCAAGCACCACAGACCCCGGTGATATCAGAGATGTCAGGTTCTTTGCATACTGCACAGTCACATTCCCACGACTTATGTTACGGGAAAGAGCCCATTTTACACAGCGCTGTATTGCATAGCAGAAGCAGCATATTCCATCCAAGCATCTTAAAAA